CTCATCCCGACTATTTGCACCATGCTAGCATAGTCTCCCTAGATTCCCAAGCCTCGCACGCAGACTTTCCTGTCCCACGAACGTTGGGTAGGATTATAGGACGAGCCAAAAGAAAGTGAAGGCTATAGGCTCTCGCGATGATGCAAGGAAGGTCGAGTATTATATTCCCCTATCCAGGTCGCCCAGGGTAAGTCTTCGGAGGAGAGTGACTTAGGGGCAGTATGTTCGAAAAGTTGACTAACGCCCCGGAACTAACGCTTTCCCTGGATAAATCTATATCCAATAAGTAACGCAATTGCTTCATCTTATTCGCTTGATAGTGATTTCCTGTTGTTCAACGTTTGAACAACAGGGCCCTAAAATATTGTGTTTCGCCTTGCACTAAAAACCCATAAACCTTATAAATTTCACTATGGGACTTCAGCACCTGCCTTGAATGATCCATTTCGCTAAACGGGACCTCAAAACAACGATTCTGTGCATCCTAAGGGAGTGTATACTATACGTTCCTGGCTCTCGTCACTCACAGTGAGGTGATGGTGGTTCATACTCTAATAGACCTAACACAGTCGAACCTCCATGTGCGACCGCCAATCCAAAAGACCAAATTTTCCCATTCAAAGCCTTATATTTGGATTAACCTCCAGTAAACGACCTTCTGTAAGTGACTGCGACCACTTTTTGGGTTAATTGTTTTCCATAAGCGACCAGTTGACGCATTCTCTGCTCTCTATTTTTGCTGTGTGCACTATGTTCCTTGGAAAATATGAAGACCTTTAGTGACATCGTGGAACTACACATATCCTAACTTAGTAGATGTAGCCAACAAAGTGAAGATTCTGTTGTGATTCTAGACTATTCTATATCTCACTCACCTGAATCCCTCTTTAAATTGAGCATGATTTAAAAGCTGTATCTTTCAAAAGAGGTAAAAGATAATATTTTGCCAGGAATTTGTTACACCGCCATTTAATAGAATGTGCCCGGACCTCTTCTCGGAATAGACCCCATGTGGTCCGATTCTTCTAAACGGCCACCTCCCGTTAGAGACCATTAAGTCTTTGCATTTTTGGTGGTCGCTTACTGGAGGTACGACTGTATTACTTTGACCTATCAGAGGCTTACCGATAATAAAGGGGATCTGGAAGGGGGCATGGATGCGACAATCACATGCCAGGTCGCTTACTTAAAATAGTGGACATCTAACTGACAATCAAAGTTTGTGCTTATTATTGGGGTTATCTGGTGTTTACTCACCTCCCAAGCTACCCTGGGTGAGCCAACTTTTCCTCCATTTCCTTACAAAACTTGGTAAACCATTTACATGAGAAACAAAAGGTTGGTTCGGATAGACGCCTTACTACCAGTAGTGGGCGGGGTTGAGGGCTTCCGGAAGTCAGCCCTCCACTGAGCCGGTAGTGGTGGCCTCACCCTTCTAGCCCGGCTAATATTTCTTCACTTTGGTCAAGGCTAGACAAAGACAGCATGCGCAAGCACTGTTGACTCGGACAAAGTGGTCAGTTTTTTCCTCATGCAAACGCTCGCAAAAGTTGGCTCGGCTGGGAGGTTGACCTTCTCTCCGGCACAGCTTTTCTCCATCCATGGGTTCCAAACAGTCTTTTAGCAGTCACGTTTGATTTTTATAGGAAAATGATGTAGCACTTCAAAAAATAATAATAAAAAAAATACACTTTTTTCACAGCCTGTCAATGCCTAGAAGGTGTCTATAAAAGAAATCAACTGCAGAACAGGAGTCAATTTTAGTTTTTTGCGCTTTTCATGTTAGCACTGCGAAGCGGACTGGGGGTGCGAGACACGCGCGATGCATGGGGAACAAGTTCTGCAGGCTATAAAAGAAATTTAAAAACAAACAAACAAATAAAGCAGGCCTGATTTTATTTCGATGAGTCTATTTTTTGTCGAAAGCAAACGTGAAAAATCGTATTAAAATTTGTGACAGTATGCTAACGTGACTTAAGCGTGTGACCGATTTCCGGTCACACGCCAAAGGTCATACGATCTTGTGCGATGTTCATTATCAGCCGACGAACGATTGAAGTGATGAAAGGTTTTCAAAATCGAAGTCATTAGTTTGCGATGAATTTTCAATCTTTTGGCCTCCTGACTGAAGTAAAAACTCTTGCAACTCTTGCTTCCAAAGGACCGCAGTGACGTGTTGTGACTTTATTTCGATTCACGGCCGAATTCTGGCGCAGTCGCTGAGCAAACGTACGTTTGTCTTTTGGACCTTTTGACTTAAAATTATGGATTTTGTGACTCAAACCGACGCAAAAGAAGTTGGAAATAACTTTCCTTGCCGTAAAAACGTGTTACAAGCAATGGTGAGTAATCCTTTCATGTAAAACCTTTCTTTTTAGTTTGACAACCGTCCGCCAGCCGTCTAATTTGCATAAATTTCCCAATTCAATTGCTCTCACCGCTTGCTTTGGTGTCAAGATGATATTTGATTTCCAGAGCTAAAACTTTCCAGTAAGTTAGTACAAAAGCCAAGGTTCCATTTTATATTGATTTTATGATCAAGCGGCATATACCAGAGGCCTTTTTTAATAGTCAAAGTTGGCCTTCGTTTTCTAGCATGTCTAACGTCACAAATATGACCTCTTTACACTTGTCGATTATAAAAATATAAGACATTGTTTTTCAAATTTTCTTTTAAGGTTTTCAAGAGTAAGAACAAAATAATAATTCGGTGAAGTTTCAGTGTCAGGGAATGTTTCTTACGCGTTCACCCTTCTCTCGAAGTTGCCATTGCATCCTGCCGTGTTTTGTTCGAAAAACAGGAATAAAATCGATTTTTCAAACTTTTTTTAATTTCTCCTTTAAAATAAATCGTTTGAAGCCAAAACTATTTTTCCTTAAATTAGGTCACTAAAAGGGATGTTTTGGCAAAATAATAAAAAATTCGATTTTTTGACGAGTGTCTTGCGATTCTCGATTTTCTCAGAAAATGGCTCTTAAGGCGTTCACATTCCTCGTGAAAAAACTTCCACGTAGACGAGAGTTTAAACGCACGGTTAAGCATGGTGTTCAGGAGTGAGTTTTTTCACGAGGAATGTGAACGCCTTAAAGAGATCTTCTCCCGACTGCGCTATCCAGACGACCTTGTGCAGTCAACCATTCGCCAATTCATTGAATCCAAAGTGTCCGAGGATTCACACACCCAAGTGGCTGTTAAAAGAGAAGCCCCAATCAGAATCGTGTTGCCCTTCAAAGACCAGAAATCAGCAAACGTAGTACGTAAACAGCTGGCTGACCTGAGTAGGAAGATCAACGCAGACATCAGCCCAGTTTACACAAGTAGGAAGATCAAAGATGAAATTAAGGTCAAGGAAGACAAGCCGCCTCTTGTGAGTCAACAATGCGTGGTGTATTCTTTCCAGTGTAGCCTGTGTGATGCAGGTTATGTCGGCTACACGTGCCGACACCTACACCAACGAATTGAAGAACACAAAGGATCGGCAATCGGAAACCACCTCAGAGAGCAGCATGATATGGAGCCTGAAGACATCGCACAAAGTTTTAGAATCTTAAGAAAGTGTCAGAACAAATTTGACTGCCTTATTTTTGAAATGTTTTTTATCCAAGAACTGAAACCGACACTTAACAAACAGTGCGATTCAATTCGCGCCAAATTATTTGTTTAGAGTAGTTCTTGTTAACATTGTTTTATTTCCATTGTTTTTTGACTTTATAAATATTTTATTATTTTTTTTTTTTTAGCACTTTTTACATTTTTACATATTTTATCACATTTTAGCGTTCACCACATTTTTATCTATTATAACTTGCTTTTAACTTATCTATGCTAATTTAGAGAACTTTTATACACTTGAAAATGACCTCGGAGAGGTCGAAACGTCGTGATTTTTTATCGCTAATATTTATCGCAAAATCGATTTCTAAGAAACTACTTATTATTATATAAATTGTACAAATAATTAAACTTCTGGTGCTTTTTGAGCTACAGACCGAAGCAAAGCCATTAACAGTAAAAATTCCACCATACAAGTACCTCTAACACCCTCTAACTAAATAATAAGGAAAGCCTAAACAGCTTTCCTCTTCTTAGACTTTTGTACAGCATGCCAGCATTTTTTTCGAGAATTTTGGTGCAATTTCCCGGAAAATGTTTTTTTCAGAGAAAATGAAAATAGAAAATAAACTCTCAAAAGTCAAAGAAATGGATGAAGAGCGGACAATATTGACGTCAAAATATCATTCACTCGAAAGCTGAGAATACCCGACTTCTTTTTCAAACAATAGGTACCTTTTCTTAACTTTTATCCTAAACGACAAGCATAGACCAAAAAGGTAACAATTTTGCATTTTGTTCTACGGAAAATGAATGCAGAAACTTAGTTTTCTACTGGTTTTAACTACCAGAGTTGACATTTTTGTAAAAAAGTAGAATTGCCAGAATCTTTCACTGATTATGATGGCCTCCGTTGCCAACACCTTTATTAGCCCGAAAAACAGGCGTTATTTTTTCGCGTTTTTCAGGCGAGTGAAGGCAAGTGCGAAGCGAGCGTGGCGCGAGAAACACACGCGACGTTTTCCGGGCCCTCACCTTTCGCGCGTGTCTCGCACTCTACGCCCGCTTCGCGCTTGCCTTAGCTCGCCTGAAAAACGCGAAAAATAACGCTTGCTCTGCAGGCTACAGCTTTACTGAAGTGTCAAGAGAAGAAAAAGATATATTTCAACTTATCACCGATAAACATTTTATAGAACGCACATGACTAGATTAATACAAACAAGAGCGTTGCATGCGTTCGTGTCCAATTTCTTATTAATATCGGTAGCTGTCAAATCGTCACTTCACTCTTACATTTTGTTGACATATAAATTTTGCTCGTTTTCTGTTCTTTAAGTAAAACTTGCACTCATTTACATATCGCTTTCATGAAAACACACGGTATTGAAATACAGTTGACTCCCGACAACTCGAACCCTTGCTAACTTGAACCTCGCGCTAACTCGAATCAAAATCAATTTCCGCTACATTTTCGTCATACGTTTACTGTAATTTTACTCTCGGTAACTCGACCCCTTGTTAAGTCGAACCGTCCGCTAACTCGAAATAGTTTTTGTTTCCCCTCAAATCATTTCCACACAATTTTACCCTCGATAACTCGAACCATGTTTTGAGCCCTTTTTTATTGAATTAAAAGTCGGGAAAAAACAGTCTCCTGGCGTCGCAAACATTGAATTTTGAATTTCCCATTGACGTGTAGCCTCCCACGCAGGCGTTTTTAGGGGAGCTCGTATTTCTTCGAGCTCCCCTAAAAACGCCTGCGTGGGAGGCTAATTGACGTGTTGTAGGCAAATACTTTAATATTGGAGGCTGATGTTGTTTGTCACAAATCAATTGAAATCTAACGTGAAACAGCTTCACTTCTCAAAACAGTAAAACGAATGCTCTATTTAGGCAATGTCGTTACGTTACGTTCTGATTTATAATTTGGAAGTATCTTTTTTTTTTCACTTGACACTTCTACAATTAAATGTGATTAAAATGTTCACTATGCAGTAAAAACGGTTTTTTTCCTTCCTCCCGGCTATTTTCTTCGAGCTCCCGATAACTCGAACCTTTTTCGATCTCCCTTGAAGGTTCGAGTTATCTGGAGTCGACTGTAAAGTCAGTTCATTCATTCCTTCATTCGTTTTACATAACAGCTTTGATAGCGAGAACTATCGAGCCAGCGTGGCCGATCGGTTAAAGTGCTGGAGCATGGATTTGGAAGGCCTCGAGTTGAAGTTTCACTATATATTGCTGCTAAGGACACTGAGCCAGCTGCGTTTTATGTCTGTCTGCATTATCTATGCCGTTTAACGGGACCCATATCATAATAACTTTCACAAAAAAAAACTTTTTTTTGCTTTTCACAGACGATAACTGCCGTTGACTCTCTTGAACTAAAAATTTCGTTGCATTGTAGCGCTAGTTTAGGTTTTTCCACGCGCGTTGATTCGCGCAATACACGGAATGGTGTGAACAGGATTCGTTGCGAAACTAAACATGTTTCCTGTAAGAATGACTGACTGCCCCTGGGTGTTCCAAGGATGGCGCTTTCGTGTCGACCATAAATTAGGCCCTGTGCACACTAACGCGCTTTCGTTTGAAAACACCTTCATTTCGATGCGTTTAGGCCTTCCGTCCACACTAATATGCCGAGCGTTTCACCAATAACGCATCGACTTGAAAACACTCTTGAAAGTGGTTGAAAAAAGAAAACGCATACATGTCGTATTAGTGTGGACGGTCGATAACGGTTGAAACGCATCAAAATTAAACCGATGACCAAAAATGTCGTAAGTGCGAGTGTTTGTAGCTTGCGCATGGAGTTCAACTTACGTCACAACGTGTAATTCTAACGCTTTTAGTGTGGACATTCGAAAACGCATCAAAACGGTAGTGTGGACGCCAATCGATGGATGCCTTTTCGATGACATGAAAAATCAGTATATTATCATCTATCTATAGTCTTAGTACAGTCGGTTGGATCGGGATGGGTCACTTCATTTCATAAGTTGTTATTTGTTCGTTCTGGTAAACCTTTTTATTCTATGACACTATATTTCGGCCTAGTCTGGATTTAGTCTATTCAGCCACATCAGTTTATTCCTACCTGGTTCGCACGGAAGACGGAAGTGATAAATTTTGATGAAAATTTAGAGGTAACACAGCTTTTTCATTTTGAAAATGAACGGTACCACCGACCAGTTCAAACTTTAGGCAAGCGTCCTAAAGTCCGCAAGATCTGTGAGCACGTGAACACTTCGGGTGACAAACCAATCAAATCGCTAAGCCATCAGAGGTTAAAGTACAAAGCGCGGGGAAAGACGTGTGAGCAAGGCACGATTGGCTTTGGATTTACTCCTGATTGGCTGAGAAAGTGGCCCGAGACAATTCAGCCAATCACAAACCAGTGCCAAGCGCGGGAAAGTGTGTGTGAGCAGGGCACGGTTGGCTTTAGATTCACCCCTAATTGGCTGAGAAAGTGGCGCGAGATACTTCAACCAATCGGAAACCAGTGTCAAGCGCGGGAAAACGCGTGCGAGCAAGACACGATTGGCTTTGGATTAACTCCTGATTGGTTAAGAAAATGGTGCGAGATATTTCAGCCAATCACAAACCGTTGGAACGTAAAGCTAAAGTACTTATGATAAGAATTACTCTATAAAGGGACTTGAAATTAATTTGCCTAAACTTTACATTCATGTACCTCAACATAGGCTGAAGATCATCATCCAGCTCTCCTGATTTGTGTAATTGCCGACATGTTTCCAGAGCAACGCACATTTCAGATTTGATCCTGGCCTTCCTTAATGTTTCCTCATTAACCTGATCTTTCTGCACTGTCACACTAGCCTTAATACCAAATATAGAATAAGGAAGATTAAATCCCAGATAAATAGAATGATATGTGTGGAGAGAAGAACTCAGAAACAATTTGTGAGTTCCAGATGGGAATTGAACCCACGACCTTCCGTACACTAGTCGGATGCTCTAACCACTGAGTTACAGTGAACTTTAGTGATGAGCAGGTCTGACACAACGACCGCATCTCGCAGTCACATAATGTCAAATGAACACACAAAAAAGTGCATCGCGCAGTCACGTAAATACTCACTGAGCAATAAATAATAAATAGAATGATATATGTAGCGGGAAAAACTCGGAAAAAAATTCTGAGTTCCAGATGGGACTCCCAAAAGAAATTGAAATGAATGGTGCTGAACAAAATCAAATCAGATTCTGGACATATAAAATTCAAACCATCTGGCAGAAAAAAGAGTAAGATGTGCCGTAAAAGACCACCGCCGGAAAACGCGAAGTTTTGACGGTCGCTGTAGCAAGAGGCTCGAATCACAGTGCTTTAACTGATTATGCTGTTATGGTGGTCGCTTATCAGAGATGTCCGCAGGTGGAGGATCGACTGAATAATGAAGTTCAAAATTCAATTTGTCTTAAGCTTAAGACAAAGAAACTACCCACCTTCAGACTATAGAGAAGGGGTGGCAAGACAAGCAACTTTACTTTTAATTCCTATCCGAGACTCAGAGTTTTGCCTTCCTCCTTTTTCTCGCACCGAGCTCATTGAATACAGTCAAATCTCTATCAGACAGACGCTGTGGGGACCAGCGCAAGACTTCTGTCTTAGAGACGTGCCCGCCTTATATAGAGTTGAAGAAAATGACCGAGGGAAAAGCGGAGCCCAACTCCAGGTGTCGATTTTCGGGAGGTTTCCGCCTCATAGAAAATCAATAACAATCAGGACTGAAGAACAGCAGGGACCATCTCTAGGTTTCGGTCATAGGAGGCGTACGTCTTACAGAGAGTCAATAGGGACCTTTAGCAACGAGGACGTTGACGTCCCGGACGTCAAAAACTTTTTAGTGGCAACCGGAAGTTGATATTCTCTCTCTTTCAGTGTTCTGACTCGACAAATTCGCAGAGTGGAAGTTAAAAAAAGTCATTCAGACTCGTTGTGTGAGGCAAAAGTATTCCATCAAACGAGACATCGTACCTCCGGTTGCCAATCATGACGTCCGGGATGTCAGTGTTCTCACTAATGAAAATTAATGACTGATGAACGGAAGGGAGCACTGCAACTATAAGTGTGTGTTTAAGGGAAGTGTTTTTCCTCTGTGAAGTCAATGAAGATGAGTAAAGCACGTCAGCAACCAACTCTAGGTATCGATTTTGAGGAGGTGATCACCTAAGCGAGGTGTCTATTTAACAATTATTCCTCGAGCCCGAATGGGCTCTGAGTCGGCCTCTTGGGCTATTGAGTCAGAGGCCACAAGGGCGAGAGGAATAATTGTTTTTTAATTAGTAAAATCCACCTAGTTGGTCAAAAATATCGAGACAAAACAACTTTAGCTAGTTAAAGCTAGACTTTAATCCATTTTTACCGCCAAAAAGCCGGCGCTTTTCGCTACTAGTGGGCTATAACATATAGCCTAGTAGTAGCTCAACCAATCAGAACGCAGAATTGTTAATAGACCACTAGTTGGATTTTACTTATTGGTACTAGTTTTGGTATTAGTTGACTGCATTCCATCTTTTTGTTTTTCTTCCATCCCTCCCATATTTTTGTCGCACACCAGTCTTACTTAGCTCGACACTGTAATTAACTGTTTTAGTTCTAATGTTATTCCATACATTGATTTCCATATGATTTTCCATTCGAATTCATTATGGTACTAATAAAGATCTACCAACCAGTCGCGGATCCAGAGGAGGGGCCCGGGGGGCCCGCTCCCACCTTATTTCTAGACCAAACTGAGGCCCAAACGACTGAAAAAAATCTTTTTTGAGATACCTGTATAGGCCAGTAAACTGGAGAGTTTCGTGGCAGGTATAAAGTCGACATAAATTCAACTTCATTTTCAGACCACACTTCTTTGGTCCTGCAAACAGGAATGGCTGAACCAGTTCCACTGCTTGGAAACTTGGAGCAATAACTATAAAAAGAAATTCAGAACAGAAAAGTAAATTTGGACAAAATTAATATGATGTAGGTCAAATAAAAATTCAATTCAGGGTAAAAATTTTTAAAGGGGCTATGTCGTGGCTGTCTGGTTCATTTTATTGATAGGGAACTTAAGCAAGGACATTTTTGAGCGACACCTGTCAACCAGAAGTGGACTTTTTGTGCCCTTCGGCCGTGATTTGGAACCAATTCTTGGGCAAATCGTCTCTATAAGAGTAAAGACACTTTACAATCCAAATTTGGAAGCGTAAAGGCAGTGTGGCCGAGTGGTCACCGTGTCAGACTAGGGACTTAAAACTGGGACTGCCCGATTGGTCTCTGGCGACTTGCTGGGTTTGTTCCCGGTTGTCGCAGTTCAAATCCTCCGCCACATTTGTAAATAGCCAACTGCAATGGTTGCCTCCTGCCAGTTGGGGTTTTTACTCCTGGTTGGGTGTATTTATATTATTTGTTTCTAAGCCAGTATTTGAGTGAAGTGCCTGTAAACTAGCTGGATAAGCTAAGTGCACGTTCCACTATAAACAACTTGCTCTTAAACCTTAACCCAAGGTTCTCATTAAGTGCCAGCAACCAGCTAAAAAACCGGTTACTTTGAGGTCTGTGCTGTCTACTTTAAGGGGAAAATAGATAAAGTGAGGGAGTGGAAGCCTCCAGTTGCCTACAACACTTGATTGCCAAGCCCCCTACTTTTACATCCTAGCTGTCTACTTTAGAACTTAATGAAAACCCTGTAAAATTATCCGGCTGACATGCAACTATGCATCCTCATTCGCTATGGAACTTGAGAAAGATGTATAATTAATATTATATGTTGCAGGTCATTATCAAACCCAGGTTGTTTCAACCTAGCTTAAACAGCTGTAGCTTGCAGTGCAGGCATTTTCCTTGGGCACACAAAAGTTTTTGCTAGCAAAGGTGCCATGTTGAAACTCCAAAAGAGAGGAGGAAGTGGGGCAAGTCAAAAGGAGCTTTTTCCTCCCCTTCCCCTCCCCCTTTTTTCTTTTGCCCCTAGCTATTTCTACTCTCCCCGATCCCAATCCTCCTCTCTCACAAAATCAAAGATGGCGGCTACAAACATAAACAAACATGAACCACTAGGGACAGCGCATAACTAATCAAAAGGTGAAAGTGGGCAACATGCTGTTGCTAGCGGCCTTTTAAACAAACAGCTTTCACAAACCCAAAATACACCTGCCCAGCAGGCTACCTAGCTTAACACACATGTAATTAGGGCTCCATTGTGCTGGACAGTAGTGATTAAGAATCACGCTAGGCAAGAGCCCATGGGCTCCTGACCTAGGTTAAAAATTTTAACCACAATTTAATGTGGACCTACAAACAGATACAGGGAAAAATCTGTTCATGACTTCCATTATCTAAATGCAGCCTACAAGGAACCTGACAGGAAGCAAAGCGAGCATGTATCTAAAGATTAAAAGGGTAGCAGTAGAAATTAAGTCCACTGGGTGGAAATATATTTCTCTTTTTATTTTCCGTATTTCCCCACCCCTGCCCCGCCCACAAAACCTAGCACTTTTAATTGACTCACATCCAGTTAAGCATTCATAGCATAATAAGGCACAAGGAAAAAGAAGGGTGTAAACAATCTAGTACAATTTAGGATGGTAATTTACATTGACTACCTGTTGAGGAGGGAAATGCTTGACAAAAGATCCACCTTTGGTCCACCCTCACCATAAGGTTCATATGCTGTAACTGGTTGATCCTCAGGGAAGAGTTTCTTTACTTCACAGCATGGGAGTCGGCAGTTAGGACATCTCTCAGCTAAAACATTTTCTATCCCTTGCAAACTCTGCTTGATTCAAAAAAATTTTATGTGTTATTGACCAAGCATGAGGTAAATATAAAGGTGGCTGGATATTGACCAAGTTCTTTTTTGCATTTTTATTACCTGAGACAAGACCAAGGTCAATAAAGATGCAAAAAAGAAAGAGGCCAATATCCAGCCATCTTGACCAGACAAGCTTGGTCAATTGTTTATTGACCCAAAAAATACTTTTTCTTGCGCTACCAGCACGGGAAATCCCAAGTGGGCAAGATGGGCCCACCTTTCCCACTTGGGTAGCCAATCATAATGTACATGTAGGATTGGCTTCATCTTGCCTGCTCACAGATTCAGCCAAACATCAAATGAGATTACTGCACATTCACACTGCTTGACAATCAACAAGGGGTCAATTCAACAAAATTTTGACAAGTGTTACATGTACATGTACTATAATTTACATGAAAAGGTGTAGGTATTTTTTTCAAACTCTAGTAAAAGTGTTATTAAACTGAGTCCAGGCTTCTTTCAAGGGTGGGGACTATCCCAATGCTCTACAGGAAATTTAAAGAAGAAGGAAGTAAATTTAATTAGACAGCAATATATTAGATGATAGAGTGCTCAATGTCAAGTGTGGGAGTGCAAAGGGGATCATCCCCCTCCTCCACTGAAGGGGTCTGGGAGCCTCCCCAGAGAAAAATTTTAATTTGGGGGCCCTGAAAAGTGAATTGCACTGCAATTGCAGTGAATTGAAAATAGCAGATAGAGGAACATCTTGGTCCCATGATCAATCACAATGATATTACATGTATCTTCTGATTTTTGGTGTAACAATGCTTATGACAAAGAAGTCACGATTGCAACAGTACACCTGTTACTCAGGGTTGTCAAAAAGTGTTGAAGTAGATGGCTGAGTTGTCAAAGTAAGCGGCCAGTCCAGGGATATTTTATTTAAAAAAACTCCACCCATAAAGAAATGCCAAGCAGAGTAGCCGGCCGATACTAACCAAGAAGGCAGCGATTTTCACTGGCTACTTTTGACAACCCTGGTTACTGCATTGTAATAGTCAAAGAGACCTCAGAAATCAACCCTCTTGATTGTTTTCAGTGCTTTCATCCTTTTTCCACAATCAAATATGGGATTTACTTCAAGGTTTCACCTTGGGCTCATTTAAAATCAAACCATAAACTAAATTCACTAAGTCTTACTGGCTATACCTTAAACTTCTCCTCAGCCTTTGCCTTTTCTGTCTGTCTAACAAGAACAATGAATTTGGCCCCTGTAGATTTCAGGCTCCTCTTCACACTGAAATAATGTTTGTAGTCCTTAGGCATCCCTTGACGTATCAGCAAGCTACATCTGCGTGCATACAGGTCCTTTTCAATCTCAAAAGTTGCGACAAGGACATTTACGGAACCATCTTGCATGCAATCCATAACGGTTACCTTACCCTCCACTTCATCAACCAGGCCTTGCTCAAGAACATCTTGTTTTGCTTTCTTACTACAGACACACGCACTCTTAAGAAAATTGTACTCAGGAAATTTATCTGATAGCTTATTAATGAGAGAATTCAGAGCCTTTGCAACGATGGTACTAGGGACAAGAATGACACACAAGGGATCATCACATTGAGTCTTTGATCCATACGTTGTTGGCACATTTTGCGGTTGAGAGGCTACTGTCCAGTTCTTGGGAAGTTGTGTTGAAGCCGACAAGTCAACAGGTTGTTGCTCAGGAAATCCTGTTAGATCATCTGCAGCCATATGAGTTTGATCATCCGATAAGGGGCCTGAATCTGCACATAGACCTTCTTGGCAAATGGACCCTTGAAAAGAACAATCTGCAGTGTAACCAGGCTTTAAATGCATTGACATGTGAAACAGCAGTTTCTCTGTCAAATCAGTCAATTCACATCTTTCAAAAGTACTATTCTCCAGCAAGTTGACAACTAAACTTAGCTGTGTCCTGCAATATTGGAGAATGAGCAGGTCATAGTTTTCAGAACATTTTTTTTCAAACTTCATGATCTCTTTTATCGTAATTTTGGCAATATAAGCAGTGTGCTCTGGCCCAAACAACAAGAGAACCTTATGGCACTCGCTTAAAACATGTTTGGCAAACTTGACACATTCTTGAGTTGCATCTTGCTCTTTGATGTCTTTCAGAAATATGACAGCATTTTGAAGAATTTCCTTGAGCTTACAAATAAGTTGATTGTCCTCAGAAGCATGAGTGTAGTACACTAACTCTTCATCACTACGTTCTCCATATCTGTTCAAGCCCAGCAAATCATAAGAAACAGATGCCTTGCAATTAAATGTTTCCTCCACTGAGCTAAGAAACCGTTCAGTACCTTGCAGACATGATAGTTGACGTGAAATCTCTGAAGACAGCCCAACAATTTTTGGCCTAAAATCCAGTTCACAATTCTCTACATGATTTAAAATAAGTGTGAACGGATGACCCGGAGAAGTAGCATGATGGCACTGGTCCAGAATAATCAAGCTGATAGATGTTAAATTTAACACTCCAACTTTTATAAACTGTAGAAAACTGGAGGCTGTTGCAACCAAAATATCACTTTTATGAGGCAACCATTGATTGTTTCCAGTAACCTCCTCTTCATCAAAATAAGTTTTCACAGACAACGTACTTTGGTTTGCCATAGCTTTCAGGAATGGCTTCACCAACTGAGCTGAAGACACAAAGCAAAAAAATGATTAAGTGGCCCAATAATTGATGGATAACTTCAACCCTTGTTACATCACACGCATGCAGCACAACTTGTCATTAGCTTATCATTAATGAAATGGAAAAATAAAGTTGATGGATACGTATTATTTTGTGAGTTAAGTAGGTCTGGAAATAAATATAGATGTATTCAAGTTGTTTTTTCTTTCTTGACTGTTCATCATTAATTTTCCCACAGCCCAGTGTCAGGAATTGTATCCATCCTGTCATAATGCCCTCCCTACATCTCTAAACAGACTGTATGTCTCTAGTGGGAAAGAGGGTATATGGTACATTTTCTACCCACAATTAAAAAAGCCAGAAGCTGGAGTTTCCTTCTGATTAGTCAAGAAGCAATTGTGAATAAGTTCTGTTGATTGATTGATTCATCATGTCTTTCAGTAAAAACATCAGCAGATTATCATACAGTGAAACCTGTATTAAGCGGAAAACCTCAGGGAATGTTGTAGTGTCCACTTAATACAGAGAGTCCGCCTAATACAGGTTTCGATAGATAATGTCATATGAGGTGTTGAATGCCATTCAAATGAACAGTGGAAATGTTTAGAATATTCCCAGAGACTATGATGCTATACAGTACATTTGCATTAATTTCCTTATTATGTTTTTGGTACTATGATAAATAATTATTATTGATCATAGTACCAAAAACATATAACTACAACTCAAATTTGAAGAAATCAGAGGAATGAAACAAGCTGATTAAAAGCAAAATGAAATAGAAAACAATACTGTACTGTGAAACTAATCAAATAAGTTCATCAAGTCATGTTTTTAAATGTAAAAATCAAAAAATTTATGGGTGGCAGTCTTTTGCATTTCCGGCATCTGGCATGTTGGGTGGTGGAATTTAATATTACAAGTGTCCGTTTAATACAGGTAATCAACAATAGAAATGACTATTCCAGGTACTTTTAAGGTGTCCGCGTCTGTTTCTGCTTAATAGAGGTGTCCACTTGATAACGGTTTTATGTAAAGTAAATAAAGGAAATAAATTTGGGGACTTCGGCTACTGTCCGCTTAATAGAGGGTGTCCGCTTAATACAGGTTTCACTGTCGGATAGAAATCAAATCACTTTACATTTAATGTAAAGTACAGGGTTGTCAATAAGGTTTTAAGTAGGTAGAAAAAGTTTAAAGAGAAGGCAGAGATAAAAAACTCACACCAAAGGCAAAACTTGTACATCCCAAAGGCTCAAGTTACTAGGGGGATTTGGGGCCATGTCAGTCTCACTATTTTTTAACTATTCTCTTGGCCCTCATGACAAGACTCCCATTCTCATGTTTTTTGTTTTTAGGAAATCATTCTAAAATGAAATGTTACCTTGCTGGATAAAAATGGAAATGTAATGGAGAATGCCAGTGCCCATTCAAGCCTACATGGCACTTTGTCTATAACATTTTTAGCCATGAAAGTTGGCTTATCCAGAAGAAACTACCCAGTTACTATAAGTTTCATCCTAGTGATGACCTCCTCCCAGGCCCCTTAGAGTCATAAAAAAATGGCATCTTGTTACAAGAAAGATCACAAGATAATACGTATTCAAATAAACAGTGAATTCTCCTCAGGAGACTGAGACCTATTGCCATTCTAAATAATTATAATCTCTAACTCGACTGACTCGACTCGTACATGTCAGATATATATTGATTTTAGCACTGCACTTTTACATAAGCTCTCCTTGTAATCTCAGGCTTACCAGTCTCGTCGTTGACCAAAAGAACCATCAACCCAGCTTTCAGAGCTCGTCGCCGAAACTGTTGGAAGATCTTAAATGCAATGAAAAGCTTAGACTCGCTTGTAGCCATACAAACAACACTCGCACTTCCGGAATCCAACGCTCTTTCCACCAAATCCACTGCATAATGTGGACGCTGAAATGAGATTTCTTTTTCTCGTTTACTTACATTCATCGTTTAACTCTATGATTTCAGCGTGTTGTGGGTGAAAAAAAGTCGTTTTCACAGAAGTTTGGAAAAGACCGCCACGGAGGCGGCCATCTTTAAATTGGCACCCAGTCCCCCAATATTCTGTCTCGTTGGGTCACAGGCCACCCAAGCTCTGTGCATGAACCGCATGTGCCCATAAGGAACATTCTGTGGACTACATGAGAAATTCAATATAGTTGAATAGTTGAATGTAGAAACGCACCTCACTTACCTAAACCTGGGTTTTTTGCTGCGTTTTCTGTGCAACCTGGGCTCAATTCATGGCCACCATGGCTCTATGGTTTTGCAGCTCGCTGTTTGTTTCGTGTTATTTTCCTAAAAACTACGAACCGAAGCTAACCAAGGTTGGTTACTGTGCGCAACCTCAACTCACAATTGCATCACAAACCATCGCGCAGATCCACCATAAAACACCATCACCTTTATTTTCCGCTCGTCATGAGTAATGAAGTGCGATTTTGGTGGAAAACATTTCATCAAGCTTTAGGTTCTGGCAAGAGCCATGCCGCTTACGCTCATCTCAAAAACTATGCGTTCCGTAGTGAAAGCGATGATTTTACACAGCCCTTACATACACTAATCTCATTGGCTAATTCTCAAGACTGAATAGTTTCTCAGTAAATGCTTATTCTCCATTTGCACGCCTCCCATAATGCCCCTTGTTTTCCCCCAAAAGTGATGAATAAAAATTGTCTTTACATTCGTCTTGGAACGACTGTAACACCCAGGAAAAATGAAAAACCAAGGCCGGTTGGGGGGGAGGGGGGGGGGGGCGCAAACAAGGTGAATTATGGGAGATGTGCAGAGGGTGAAAAAGGTAATGGGCGAGAGAGGAATCAATAGTAAAAAACTGCTGCATGCATTGTGGTTAAACAAACAGATGTATTGTGAGTAGAAATCGAAAATATTAATGTCCCTGAGGTCTGCTGCGTTGTTCGCTCGCTTCGGGAACAGGGCGGTAGGATGTTTTCTTTTATTAAAAATAAAATGATTTTATTAAGTTAAAAACAACAGATGTTAGCCTAGTGGTTTTTATTACACAGGGAACTCGCATGGGCTGAGATTCGTAAACGTTCTGATAATCTCGTACCCAGATCTCACTCTAGCTGTTTTACCTGGGCCGTGGGAGATCTGGGTACGAGATTAACGTTCTGATAGATAGATTGTTCTTTACTCAGGGATAATCGGTATTTTCGCCCAAACTATTAGCCTGAGAGAGCATCCGGTTTTTTCGGAGCTAGTTTCACCCGCCGGAGGGAGAGAAGCGACAACATAAAATACGTCTGCGGTTCTCAGGCTACCAAACTGAAAGATGACACTTTAGCCTGTGAACAGGCTCTCTGTTTGGGGAAAAAAATAGCAAGGATTCCCTCTCCCTAGTTCCCTGCTCGACCAAAGGCCTGTTCACAGGCTAACACTTGTTCAGTATACGTTTAATGTTTTTTTCTTTTTTTAGCCGAACCTATTGTAGTGTTTAAATCAAGGTTAATTTCGGAAGCCGAAGCAAGGGCGACTGGAATCAGTAACACATTAAAACTGACCAGGTTTATCAAGCAGCTTCAAACCCTTTCTTCAACCTGTTCATTTGTGTACTAAACATTAAATCTAGGCACCAGTTTAACAACTTATCCATGTTATCTGATTCAATTCAATTCGATATTTTTTAATCAATTGCTAACGTTAACCTGTGTTAAATTTTTGGTTATTCACCAATACAAAAATATTATAGGGCTTTAGCTTTTTTACTAACAGGAAAGAAGGAGCTAACTCGAAGAGTAGGGGGTGAACTTATAGCGGGCTAATTCACTAAGAGGTCTAGAAGGCGACCTCACTAACATTCCATTGTAGATATCAACCTGATTTGCCTGGTAAGTTTTTTTTATCCCCTGATCAAAAGTTTTGTTTCATTCTCCTTTCATATTTTACGATGCTATTCTGCCTATTGTTGAGAAAATTGTCCGTAAGGAGCCTTTAAACGTCCAAGCCATCAAACATATTCAACAGTCAGAATGCATGGGGGAAATTTTTCTAAAATTATTTTACTAGATAGGAATAAGCCTCGAATGACTACTCAAGACAAAGTAAGGGTCGCACAAACACCAGATGAACTCCTTCGTGGCCGCAACAGTAGCAAAGCCAAACAAGTTTAAACTTGTGTCTTGCGACTTTCCTGTTGAATTAACTAACGACAAGAGAGAATAAGCTCCTTCTATCTTCCTTACGACCCCCCGCTCCCACACCCCGACAATTTAACGTCAAATTCGCCATTTCTCAAAATCCCATCCAAAAAAAATCTAGCCAGAGGCTAAACAAAAGGGCTTTTTACTCGTGACTGACATCGTTCCAAAGTTTAAAGAATTTTCAGCAAACGACCTTAGACATTCCGTCTCAGAATTAGACTGCCCTTGGACCTACCTAGATGGCAAAACCCCTGACTTTGGAAAACGTTTCTACAATTCACCTCCTCGCCAAATTGACCAAATTGGCCTTAAAAATTTTATCACTTTGACCCTTCATGTCCTAACTTGCGTTTGTTAGCTAACACCTCTACAAATGACGACATTCATACCAAATTTTATATTTACATTTTAGCACTGAACTTTCACGAAATTTCTCTCCTTTGAACTGAATTATCTCTGATTTATTTAATTAAAGTTGTTCTTGCCTTTATGATTACTTGAGCCGTTCTCAACTCACACATGAGGTGAAAAATTCTAGACGTCTAAATGTTCGGTGTTCTGCCTTTCCAGATTTTTCGCTTCAGCAAGATGACAAAACGAACAAGTTGCGACAGCAATGCGAATAGGATCAACAACGCAAACAGCGCAAAAGGAAAACTGAGAAGAGCCACTTGGATCCACCGTAGGACGACAATGATGCTTTTGTTTGGACCTTCTGGGCGGACTGCAGAGGACGCGAGAGTCGCTGTTGTCACGTTTATGGTCGCGATACAAGACAATGTTATCAGAGAAAAAGTTTCCATTCTATCTGCTGTGCGGTCCCTGAATGGCTTCTTGATTAAATGATGAACTGCCATCAAAATACAGGCAACCGACATGCACAAGGAACAAACCATGAAATTGGGAATAAAGGCGCGAAATATGAGAAGCACAAGCCTTCGACCAATCAGAACGCTTTCCCAGTAGAGCGTCCCTTGATCATGCGCAGTAGTTGGACGGAAAGGGCCAAGCAAAATGTTGGAAATTTCGTTGGTGCACTCTTCTATATCATGTGAGGCATTTCCATCGTCAATAAGCAATGAAAGGCGGCTGTATCTATTATGAGAGGCGGGGTTTCCTCTCTGTTTGGTGCATGAACGTTTAGCAAGCCAGTAAACGAGAAACGGTAGGGGAACAATACACGCACCAATAAACTGTTTCCATGATATGGTCTTGTTATACAGCTTTCCAGAACCCAGGTACAGAACCCCGACGAATGGAACGACGAAAATAACATTAAAAGCCAGAAGACAGTGCTGCCACCATTGCCAGCAAACAACATTACCATCGTAGTAAAGACGCAGTTCAGATCCTATCGGTACGCAGTGCATTAACTTGAGCGAGGTTTCAGCAAGACGCTCGTAACCAAGCAACAGGATTTCCATGGCAACAGCTACGTAATGAACGAACAAAGGCTTGTGTTTCTTCAATATTCGGTAAACCACCAAATTAAGACAATAGGTCATGAACACGTGACCTATGGCAACAAATACCAGCGCAGAGAGGAACATTTCCTTAGTGACCGCTGTCAGTCCAGCAAAGAGGCAGCCAATTTTCTTGTCCAGGATATGGACTTCAAAGTTAAAAGCAGCGACCATCGTGGAAATGTACGGAACTTCTTCCATCATTGTTTCCACAGATGTGGTGCTTAGCAAATCGAATACTTGGTAGAAATAGAACGTAATTCTGATATAGCCATTCTCGCTTTCCTTTTTCTCAAGAACCAAGTCTCTTTGCAAGTTCTGTTGACGACGATCCTTTTTAAACCAGAAAATTTGATCTTTCAGAAAACGAACAAGAGGAGGTTTCTTCAACAAATAGAAAGTCAAAACGATGGTATAGATTGCCATGAAAAGCCACAATTGAAAATTGCATTTACATTCGTCAGCTTTTCGACATTTAGTTGAAAACAGTGATTCCGTAAAACCAGGAGCACATCTCCCGCAAAGAACACCTTGCCGGTAACCATAGCAACGGTTGAAGTCCTGGTGGTAATGACTTTTACTGCGGCAATACTTCTCAGGACAAGGCACAAATGTCAGTGACGAGAAATTGCTCGAATTTGTAATTTTGTAACCCCAAAAATCTTGTTTAGCGACAATGTTATTGGGTCCTTCGCAGCGGGCTCCAAATGGGCACTCAAGACAACTGAAGCCTTTGCGAACGGACAGTCCCCTAGAAAATCCACTTTGAAGACTGTACATTTTTGAAGGGCACATTAGACATGTAAATTTCTCAGTTGTAACGTTAATACGGCAAAATGTACTGTCCTTCCCACCTCCATAACTGAAGTGAGTAAAATTGTCAAACTGAAGCGAGCTTCCCATTGGGCATTGAATGGTAGAGTTTGAGTCCATATCGAAATAGCCACCGGACGATATCCTGATAATTGGTTGTTGACGAATCAGCCTTTCAGAGAAATTTGTATTAAAAGAAGTTTCCTTTATCTTGATTGGTCCTCCGCTTTGCGAATGCAGAAATCCGCCAAATCTAAAAGAAGTTCCGTTGAAAGTTCCTTCTTTTTCTGTGCGCTCGAAAGCACAGTTCTGAAACTCGACCTTCGCACTGCCGTATCCAACACAAACATGACCTGTGTCGCTTAAGGCAAAATTATTCGTGAAATTGCATCTTCGAAAAGTAACATAACCGTTAATGATTTCAATCGCACCCGCTTCATACCCAAGGTTGTTTTGAAATAGAGTGTCTTCAAAAAGGACGCGACTGGTGTAGCTCCAATTAGGATGTGTGTTGTTTCTAACTCCTCCCTCAACACATCCTTTGTCTACCTGCTTATCGGAGTCAAAGAGAAAAAGAAACGCTCCTTGGCCAGTCATATACCTCGGCAAGTTCTTAAATTTTCCCACTCTCCATATGTTCGTTTCTAGACTGAAGCTTTCATGGAACTTGCAGCCTCTTAGAGTGATCGTCTTGTTTCCCTTAGCAACAAACACAAAAGCATTAGTTGGTCGACCTGCAAAGGTTGCATTTTCTATTTCAACGTTTACTTTTGAAAGTAACTGTTTGTCTAGAGAGGGAATGACAATGCGAATTCCAAATGTAGCATTCTTTGCGTATTCCTCTTGTATTTCTTTGCCGTCAAAAACCGTGTTGGTCACTTCAAGATAAACGCGGATAGTATTGTTTAGCAAACCAAACACGTCCATTAAGTTATTTCGAAATGTACAGTTGTTAAATATCGCATATAAACAAAAAATGCTGTTGTTCCTTTCAGTCTTATTATACGGATACGAGACAATGCGGACACCTTGTAACGATGCTTTCACTGTTACAGCTTCAAGGTGAACTTTGAAATTCGGCGTAAAGCTGACTGCAACTTCGGAACGGACAAACGATGTGTTGAAGATGTAAATTTTTCCAGATTGAGCAGTAATTCCTGTAACATGCAGTGTCGGGGCTCGATTCGTTTTATTGTTGTAGAAGCGGGACCCATTAACTTTTAAGTCGATCGTTCTATTTGCGTTTGTAAAGCTTTGAACCGTGATACATCTTACTTCAGAGTTATTTACACATTGCAAACCAACAAAAGCGACTGTGGCCCTACTCACTCTGGAATAGTAGAGGCTGCGGGAAGTCATAAAATGATTGTGTTCAAGATTAATGTTATGGTACGCTTCTTTCGTTACAGCAGTGGGCAAATCAACATCCAAGAAATGACCTCTGCCCCCAAGGCAATGAACCTCATTCATCGTTATTTGCAGATAAATGGTTTGAGAGAATTTCTTCGGTGCTTTATTCGCTGAAAACACTATAGCACCCCTTTCAGGGGACTGTGTGTGGAAGCCATTTTCCAAAAACTTCGTTTTGGTCACATTTAACGAAAACAGTCTGTCAGTCTTGAGGGATCGTTGTTCAAAGTAGATTCTAACACACAGGGAGTTGTTTTGAAAGACAGAGTTTCGAATAGTTACATTTACTTTCGAACGTTTTTGCACACCAATAACTACAGCTGACTCCCTTGCGGTTTTATCGCTGTGCCTTCTTCGAAGAGTACAGTTGATGATCTCCACGTGGCTGCACTTTATAAATTTTAAAGTCGTTTTTGAGAACGATAAGCCGCTTAAAGATATACGTAAAGACTCGCTTGATCCATGAAAATGAAACCCTTTTGGACAGGTCACGTGGGCTTCTGTTGATGGTAAGCTGGTCATTGTGACGCTTCTTGTTACCCGGATTCCCGGATAATGCGCCCGCGTGGTTAACTTTTCGCAGTCATATGGTTGCTTTTCTGTACCACTGCCGTCGAGGATAACCATTCCTCCCCCAGACACGCGGGTAACAGCCTTTGCTATTGTGCGACAGGGCTTTTTAATGGAGCCACAACGTTTGGTGTCGTTTCCGCGTAAAGAAACATGGACAGTTCTTTGATACTCGAGACATCCTGTAAACATTGGAAAGACAGTCAAACTTTCAGTCAAGATGTTCCCCTTGCAAGAATGGTTAAACAAAGCCACATTGGGCAGGGCCGTCCCTTTCAAGGGCTCTTTTCCTTTCCAAGCCCCATATATTAAAAATTCAATGTGCAAGATCTTGGTTTCTGCAGCCGAGTTCTCAGTTAACCGCCGTCTGGAAGTCTTCCAATTAATATCGGATCAAAAGAAAACGAATTCAAGATCATAGCGGCCAACTTGGTAACTTCCACGCCAAAAATGATTTAACAGTAGTGAAAGAACTTTCCAGACTGTAGCAAAGTAACTCATGAATTTACTTTTAAACTTTCCTGCACGTTATCACATCAACTATTGTTTTCTAGATTGACCGAACCCAGCTTGCCCTACAAAAATGGAGCAGCGCTTAGTATAAGGCAAAACCAAGCAGTTGTCCCGTCTAGGTTTCCCTTGCAAGAGAGGCTAGTGTGGTCGCATGCCAACAACCCAATAGTTGCTCTTGCATTTTGTGCTTACAACACCACAGGTAACCCAAGCTCGAAATATGAGCATCGGCGAACATCGGCATTGTTACGTAACATTCGAAATATATAGATTTACAAGGAAAAAAAACTATCGTTTCTGTAACATACGAAAATGAAAGGATTTCAATTAAAAAAGCTTACCTTACTTAAAATGTGTTTAACGTCTCTCCTGAGTGGTCCACGGGCTGATTTATGGCCGTTTTATGGGTTTTTATGTAAACGGTTTTCTCTCTATATAAAGGTTTACCAAGGTTGGACACTCAAGCGAAGCGGCTCGACTGATCCACCGAAGGAAAACGGCCGTAAATTCGCTCCAACTGCTCCAATCGCTTCCAAATTCCGCCTAGGTAACAGACGATAGTTCTCCTTTCCATTCGTTATCTTTATGTAGAGAGAAAACTGTTTACATAAAAACCCATAAAACGGCCATAAATCGGCCCGTGGACCAGACAGGATAGACGTAACACACATTTCAAGTAAGGTAAGCTGTTTTTTATTGAAATCCTTTCATTTTCGTAGGTTACAGAAACGATAGATTTTTCCCCAAACAAATCTTTATATTTCGAATGTTACGCAACAATGCCGTTGTTCGCCGATGCTCATATTTCGAGCTTGGGCTACCTGTGACAACACTTGCTGTATAAGTTCTAAAAGTCGAGCTACGGTCTTGATGAGTCTAAGGTGCGGAGTACTTGCCTTCTCAACCTCTCAAGATGTTAGAAGAGCAAGGAATGATAAACACACATTTCCAAATGATCAGTGGAAAGGAAAATATCCCTAACTGATCTTTCCCTACGGGGGTCGGTTATGAAAATTTTTAATATACCTCGAACTTTTGAATCTTTGGACAAAATCCAATAGCGTAACCAATTCAATACCACCTCAGTCTTTATTTACTTGCTTTCAGGATTTGGCAATTCAAAATTTGCAGTTTTGTTTCATTTGAGCTTTAACCACCACTGGGAGATGATGAAGATTTACTCCTATCAAGAGAAAATTCGAGACAATAATTTTCTTTCCTTTTCTTTTTTTAATTCGAAAAAGAAACCCAGTGTAAACGTCCCTCTAAACAACAAATGAATAAAAGGGACGAATCTATGATGGAAGAGTGCAGCGCAAAAAGAGTTTGGCTTTATTAACACTGAGTTAATAAAGACCTTTAGATTCTAAGACGAAGACGACTACGAGTGTAAACGTCCCTCTAAACAACAAATGAATAAAAGGGACGAATCTATGATGGAAGAGTGCAGCGCAAAAAAAGTTTGGCTTTATTAACACTGAGTTAATAAAGACCTTTAGATTCTAAGACGAAGACGACTACGAGTGTAAACGTCCCTCTAAACAACAAATGAATAAAAGGGACGAATCTATGATGGAAGAGTGCAGCGCAAAAAAAGTTTGGCTTTATTAACACTGAGTTAATAAAGACCTTTAGATTCTAAGACGAAGACGACTACGAGTGTAAAAGTCCCTCTAAACAACAAATGAATAAAAGGGACGAATCTATGATGGAAGAGTGCAGCGCAAAAAAAGTTTGGCTTTATTAACACTGAGTTAATAAAGACCTTTAGATTCTAGGACGACGACGACTACGAGATCGAGATTTTCTGAATGCACTCTTTCTTTTTTATAAGAATATTATTTTTCCAACCCAGGCTGAATATTTTAAGCTTCTCAAGCTTTAAAAATTTTTAGGCAATATTTTCTCCTTTGAACAGTTACTTTACAGAAAAAAGTCTCTGGGTGCCCCTGAAGCAAAGACGTTTTTGAGCGACGCATGTCAACCGGAAGTGAGGTCTTTTCCCTTTTTATATGCGTTGACGCTAACAAATTTGTATTGCTAAGTTTCTTTACTCTTACAGAGGCGAATTATAATTGACCATTTCTGACGGATTTTTACCCTACAAAGGTCACCTAGAATTTTCGGGAGCCTTTTTTCTGGCTGACATTTTCGAAAAGGTAAGTTTTGATCCCTATAATTTTCGGATCACTAGACTTTCAGCTAGGAAATCCGAGCAGATGAAAAACTTTGAGGGGTTAAAATTATGCCTAAATCTACCGTTTAAATACTAAAATACGTTTAACAATGCTATGTTTAGTGGTCTTTGGGTGCCTCTGATGCTGTTACGTTCATCTGTTGACTAACCTGTTTTTACGCTCAAGAGAAGAAAGAGATGAGAAACGAAGACAAACCAACAAGCCACCATCGTCTATAAGTTTGCCTGGAAGTGAGAAATGTTGCTTTCTGGCTGCTAGCTGTTGTTGAAGAAGTGACAAAAACTGAAAACGATTAGACTCCTTATATATGGCTCGAGACCTCGAAAATGAAAGCAATTTGCCTATGCCAAGTATATAGGAAGTAAAATTACCATAAAAAAAATTTCTCTTTGAAAGTGAATTAGCGGGCAGTAGAAAAATTAAGGTGGTGAGTTTCACTGAAATAGAAATCAGTATCTTCGTTGACAACTCGACTATAGGCTTTTTCTGACAGGTTAATCAACAAACAAAGAAACAAACAAGTAAACAAACTAAAAGAAAAAGACATTTTTTAAAATACTGTTTCTCGTGGGTGCCGTACGGGACGATGGCCCAACCAAATTCCACATATATGGAGCATACAATGACTTTCAAAGACTCCCTCAGAGCTCCTACGTGTTCTGTGGGTGAATAAACTAAATTTTTTTATTTAATCATTAAAGGATTGTGACGTCTCGACTACAGCAACGCTTGGGTAATCCGGCCGGAGACCTCGCGTTTGATTCGCACCACTGCGAACCTAACATAGAGTTGGCGGGAGAGGTATTAGCATTCTTTCGCTAGTGGGATGCGAGATGAAAGAAAATTTAAGGGCGCAATGCGGGAAGTTCGTCATTTTCATGGCGGTCGCTTGAAATGTTGATTTTTCCGGGCGGGAAACAGGATAGATAGTGACAATACACCAGAATATTTCACGATTTCGTGAAGAAAAACTACTCTGGAAGTTTACACAGGTGGTGTCTGAAATCAGTTCTGCATCTTTTATATAAAAGTGTCTTTTTTTGTCTGATTTTAAGACCGCGCGTGTCATGTACATTCTGAATCAAGCCTTTGCGCAGCTCCTCATACTGTTGCTTTACATGAAGGAGGAATCACATTCTATGATCCTGAGAATAGTATACCGCTGAAATGATGGTGATATGAAGGAAAGATTGAAACGTTCGCAGGTGGAGAATTGCAGGTAATGTAATGGAACAGCGTAAAAAACCCTAATTTTTCCAAACCACTAATGTCTGTCCTTGGCGAGCAAAGGAGTTGCCTTAAGATTTTCACAACGCTTAGAAATTAAAAATAGCCTGACTTCTGCTTTTTAGTCTTCATTCGGCTTTTTTTTTTCTGTTCATGGAAAGCACGAAGAATTGAGCGAGTACAATCTACCAACAACCATTTTAAGAGCTGGGGACCGTCTTCCTTTTTTGAAGGAGAATGTATCATCCATCAGAGCATATACATGGAGTGCGTTCTGCCACAGACTTTGAATGGTCCTCATGGTGGTGTTGCTACTACGATGGGGCTTGGAACATCTCCAACAAATATCGAACAATTTTCCTACAACAACACGAATTTCTTGACTTGTATGACCCTTGACGAGGAGAATCTGCACGCGTCTATTCATCGCAAGAAATAGGTCACCACCGTGTTACAATATTCTTAGTTAGGAAAACGGCTAAGAAGGGGCTAAAACGATAACTTCCTGTTCGGCGTAGAAGTCGCCCCTTTCATCGACGGTTGCTGCCATTTTAAAGATACTTGGAAAATGTTTGACTTGATATTAAGAATGCTTCTATGAAAAAAAAAGAAAATCGCAACCCAGGGTCAAACCCGGGCCTCGAACCCGAACCTTAGTATCCAAATCTCACCCTCTTACAACTACACTACAACACCGACCCGCCAAAATTCCGAAAAATTTAAGTACATAGACTAACAAACTGCCCTTCTTAACTGTTAGATCAATAACAGGTGACCCTTGCCCTTTTCGAAATTAACTTTTAACGAAAATTAACTTGGGCTTCAACGTCCTTCTTTCTAAGGCCATTCAAAAACGTCTTATTTGCGTAAGAGTAATTTAATCCAAGGAATATATTACGTCTACAGTTGGTCTATCATGACTAAAGGCTTGGTTACCAATGCTGGCATCGACCGTTAAAAAATGGCAAAGACCGCTGGCGAAAGGGAAATAGGAATCGGCGCATAGCATGGTCAAGGAACATAGTATCCGCTTCCTGAACGGTCAGGCGGCCTCTTCGACATCCCTTCTCATACCTCCGGCGTTGACTTTTGAAGAATCTGAAGTGAGAATGATCTTGTCACTCACCGGCCGCATCTCCTCGTTGTCTCTGGCCTTACGCTCCTCTACCTCACTAAGGCACTATATAAGCCTTCCATGCCAGCCTTTGCATCATCGCAACTTCTTCTTGATTAGTCGGCACCTACCGGAGGGATGTTTTTTCTGACCCCCGAACGTGCTGAACCTGACAGTATAAAGTCACATGAATGAAGCAAATAGTGAAGAGGACGCGCCTGAAGAAAATCTTCCCGCAGAAGAAAGTGACAAACTGTTTCAGCTCAGTCACTAGTCAAACGTCAACTTTTTGGTGGGTGTGACATCGCGGTTTGGCCGGCGCCCTAAGAAGTGTTTAAAATAAGCGTTTAATATTTGACCCTTTTCATTGCATTGTCCTCGATCTTGTGCAGATATCAGGAATTGCTGAAAGAAGAGCTGAAATAAGAGTTTAACTGTCTAACAGCATCTGTTTAAGACATACTGCAATCGTTTCCACTGTTAACCGGCAGACGTTGAACATATTTATTCCAGCCCGAGTTTGTAAATATTTCTTCAATCTTATAGAAGGTCGTATGTAAGGACAACATATCTAAATATATCTTGGCATAGATGCTTTTTCCAATTTTGCTTGTTTGTGCTGTCAACTCCCTTGTTTTTTAGTTTGGTGTATGAAGGAGAGCCTTCGCATTGTTCCACGTGCTGTTCTCCGGTAAAAGAAAACTTTTTTTTGATTCCTGAATGCTTATCCAAAAGAGAACAAATTTACCAAACTAAACTCACTGCTGCTGTTTACAGGGAGCTAATACCGATTTGTAGAGCTAACCCCACCCCTAACCCGCGAAAACCGCGTCTCTTCTGGAAAAAGAACTTTAGACTGCGTGGCAAGAGTTTCCCCAAATACCGCCACAAATTGATATCGTTTTAGAGTTCTACCTGCGCATTTGAGGTCCAAAATCAATACATTTTGAAGCGCTTTCTTTACAGCTAAAATTCAAATTTGGCAAAAATATTTGAACAGACTTGCAATAACATTGCCAAGGAGTCATACAATTTACATTTGTACTTAAAAAGTCTTAAAAACTTACTCGTTTCTCCATCATGTAGGCCTTGCAGCTACTCGTAAATCTTCTACAGGTAAACTGGTGTCTACCCCGGAAAAACGGCTAGTTCTACAGGGTAAGGTCGATGACGTCACCCCAAAATGAAAAAAACATGGAGCTACCCGTTACCCGTACACCGATTTCGGGGTATCTTTAGGTCTCTATTAATTAAAATTAATGACTGATGAACGGAAGGGAGCACTGCAACTATAAGTGATAGATTGATCTCCATATGATTTTCGATTCATTATGGTACTAATAAAGATCTACCAACCAGTCGCGGATCCAGAGGAGGGGCCGGGAGTTTCGTGGCAGGTATAAAGTCGACATAAATTCAACTTCATTTTCAGACCACACTTCTTTGGTCCTGCAAACAGGAATGGCCGAACTAGTTCCACTGCTTGGAAACTTGGAGCAATAACTATAAAAAGAAATTCAGAACAGAAAAGTAAATTTGGACAAAATCAATATGATGTAGGTCAAATAAAAATTCAATTCAGGGTAAAAATTTTTAAAGGGGCTATGTCGTGGCTGTCTGGTTCATTTTATTGATAGGGAACTTAAGCAAGGACATTTTTGAGAGACACATGTCAACCGGAAGTGGACTTTTTGCGCCCTTCGGCCATGATCTGGAACAAATTCTTGGGCAAATCGTCTCTATAAGAGTAAAGACACTTTACAATCCAAATTTGGTAGCGTAAAGGCAGTGTGGCCGAGTGGTCACCGTGTCAGACTACCAATCGGGCCGTCCCAGTTTTAAGTCCCACTCTGGCGACTTACTGGATTTGTTCCCGGTTGTCGCAGTTCAAATGCTCCGCCACATTTGTAAATAGCCAACTGCCATGGTTGCCTCCTGCCAGTTGGGGTTTTTACTCCTGGTTGGGTGTATTTATATTATTTGTTTCTAAGCCAGTATTTGAGTGGAGTGCCTGTAAACTAGCTGGATAAGCTAAGTGCACGTTCCACTATAAACAACTTGCTCTTAAACCTTAACCCAGGGTTCTCATTAAGCGCCAGCAACCAGCTGAAAAACCGGTTACTTTGAGGTCCGTGCTGTCTACTTTAAGGGGAAAATAGATAAAGTGAGGGAGTGGAAGCCTCAAGTTGCCTACAACACTTCATTGCCAAGCCCCCTACTTTTACATCCTAGCTGTCTACTTTAGAACTTAATGAAAACCCTGTAACCTTATCCGGCTGACATGCATTGCTCAAAACGTCACTGCTTAAACTCCCTAATAACACCAACTACGCATCCTCATTCGCTATGGACCTTGAGAAAGACGTATAATTAATATTATATATTTTATGTTGCAGGTCATTATCAAACCCAGGTTAAAATTGTTTCAACCTAGCTTATTCTTTGGGCACACAAAAGTTTTTGCTCGCAAAGGCGCCATGTTGAAACTCCAAAAGAGAGGAGGAAGTGGGGCAAGTCAAAGGGAGCTTTTTCCTCCCCTTCCCCTCCCTCTTTTTTCTTTTGCCCCTAGCTATTTCTACTCTCCCCAATACCAATCCTCCTCTCTCACAAAATCAAAGATGGCGGCTATGAACATAAACAAACATAAACCACTAGGGACAGCGCATAACTAATCAAAAGGTGAAAGTGGGCGACATGCTGTTGCTAGCGGCCTTTTAAACAAGCAGCTTTCGACCACCAAAAATACACCTGCCCAGCAGGCTACCTAGCTTAACACTCAGTTTCCTTTGTGTCCTAACACTATGATCATGAATAAGACGTAATTAGGGCTTCATTGTGCTGGACAGTAGTGATTAAGAATCACGCTAGGCAAGAGCCCATGGGCTCCTGACCTAGGTTAAAAATTTTAACCGCAATTTAATGTGGACCTACAAACAGATACAGGGAAAATCTGTTCGTGACTTCCATTATCTAAATGCAGCCTGCAAGGAACCTGACAGGAAGCAAAGCATGTATCTAAAGATTAAAAGGGTAGCAGTAGAAATTAAGTCCACTGGGTGGAAAAATATTTCTCTTTTTATTTTCCGTACTCCCCCACCCCTGCCCCGCCCACAAAACCTAGCACTTTTAATTGACTCACATCCAGTTAAGCATTCATAGCATAATAAGGCACAAGGAAAAAGAAGGGTGTAAACAATCTAGTGCAATTTAGGATGGTAATTTACATTGACTACCTGTTGAGGAGGGAAATGCTTGACAAAAGATCCACCTTTGGTCCACCCTCTCCATAAGGTTCATATGCTGTAACTGGTTGATCCTCAGGGAAGAGTTTCTTTACTTCACAGCATGGGAGTCGGCAGTTAGGACTCAGCTAAAACATTTTCTATCCCTTGCAAAATCTGCTTGATTCAAAAAAATTTTGTGTTATTGACCAAGCATGAGGTAAATATAAAGGTGGCTGGATATTGACCAAGTTCTTTTTTGCATTTTTATTACCTGAGACAAGATTAAGGTCAATAAAGATGCAAAAAAGAAAGAGGCCAATATCCAGCCATCTTGACCAGACAAGCTTGGTCAATTGTTTATTGACCAAAAAAATACTTTTTCTTGCGCTACCAGCAAGGGAAATCCCAAGTGGGCAAGATGGGCCCACCTTTCCCACTTGGGTAGCCAATCATAATGTACATGTAGGATTGGCTTCATCTTGCCTGCTCACAGATTCAGCCAAACATCAAATGAGATTACTGCACATTCACACTGCTTGACAATCAACAAGGGGTCAATTCAACAAAATTTTGACAAGTGTTACATGTACATGTACTTTAATTTACATGAAAAGGTGTAGGTATTTTTTTCAAACTCTAGTAAAAGTGTTATTAAACTGAGTCCAGGTTTCTTTCAAGGGTGGGGACTATCCCACTGCTCTACAGGAAATTTAAAGAAGAAGGAAGTAAATTTAATTAGACAGCAATATATTAGATGATAGAGTGCTCAATGTCAAGTGTGGGGGTGCAAAGGGGGATCATCCCCCTCCTCCACTGAAGGGATCTGGGAGCCTCCCCAGAGAAAAATTTTAATTTGGGGGCCTTGAAAAGTGAATTGCACTGCAATTGCAGTGAATTGAAAATAGCAGATAGAGGAACATCTTGGTCCCATGATCAATCACAATGATATTACATGTATCTTCTGATTTTTGGTGTAACAATGCTTATGAAAGAAGTCAGGATTGCAACAGTACACCTGTTACTCAGGGTTGTCAAAAAGTTTTGAAGTAGATGGCTGAGTTGTCAAAGTAAGCGGCCAGTCCAGGGATATTTTATTTAAAAACACTCCATCCATAAAGAAATGCCAAGCAGAGTAGCCAGCCGATACTAACCAAGAAGGCAGCGATTTTCACTGGAAAACTTACTGCATTGTAACATTGTACTGCATTGTAACTTACTGCATTGTAATAGTCAAAGAGACCTCAGAAATCAACCCTCTTGATTGTTTTCAGTGCTTTCATTCTTTTTCCACAATCAAATATGGGATTTACTTCAAGGTTTCACCTTGGGCTTATTTAAAATCAAACCATAAACTAAATTCACTAAATCTTACTGGCTATACCTTAAACTTCTCCTCAGCCTTTGCCTTTTCTGTCTGTCTAACAAGAACAATGAATTTGGCCCCTGTAGATTTCAGGCTCCTCTTCACATTGAAATAATGTTTGTGGTCCTTAGGCATCCCTTGACGTATCCGCAAGCTACATCTGCGTGCATACAGGTCCTTTTCAATCTCAAAAGTTGCGACAAGGACATTTACGGAACCATCTTGCATGCAATCCATAACGGTTACCTTACCCTCCACTTCATCAACCAGGCCTTGCTCAAGAACATCTTGTTTTGCTTTCTTACTACAGACACACGCTCTCTTCAGAAAATTGTACTCAGGAAATTTATCTGATAGCTTATTAATGAGAGAATTCAGAGCCTTTGCAACGATGGTACTAGGGACAAGAATGACACACAAGGGATCATCACATTGAGTCTTTGATCCATACGTTGTTGGCACATTTTGCGGTTGAGAGGCTACTGTCCAGTTGTCGGGAAGTTGTGTTGAAGCCGACAAGTCAACAGGTTGTTGCTCAGGAAATCCTGTTAGATCATCTGCAGCCATATGAGTTTGATCATCCGATAAGGGGCCTGAATCTGCACATAGACCTTCTTGGCAAATGGACCCTTGAAAAGAACAATCTGCAGTGTAACCAGGCTTTAAATGCATTGACATGTGAAACAGCAGTTTCTCTGTCAAATCAGTCAATTCACATCTTTCAAAACTACTATCCTCCAGCAAGTTGACAACTAAACTTAGCTGTGTCCTGCAATATTGGAGAATGAGCAGGTCATAGTTTTCACAACATTTTTTTTCAAACTTCATGATCTCTTTTATCGTAATTTTGGCAATATAAGCAGTGTGCTCTGGCCCAAACAACAAGAGAACCTTATGGCACTCGCTTAAAACATGTTTGGCAAACTTGACACATTCTCGAGTTGCATCTTGCTCTTTGGTGTCTTTCAGAAATATGACAGCATTTTGAAGAATTTCCTTGAGCTTACAAGTACGTTGATTGTCCTCAGAAGCATGAGTGTAGTACACTAACTCTTCATCACTACGTTCTCCATATCTGTTCAAGCCCGGCAAATCATAAGAAACAGATGCCTTGCAATTAAATGTTTCCTCCACTGAGCTAAGAAACCGTTCAGTACCTTGCAGACATGATAGTTGACGTGAAATCTCTGAAGACAGCCCAACAATTTTTGGCCTAAAATCCAGTTCACAATTATCTACATGATTTAAAATAAGTGCGAACGGATGACCTGGAGAAGTAGCATGATGGCACTGGTCCAGAATAATCAAGCTGATAGATGTTAAATTTAACACTCCAACTTTTATAAACTGTAGAAAACTGGAGGCTGTTGCAACCAAAATATCACTTTTATGAGGCAACCATTGATTGTTTCCAGTAACCTCATCTTCATCAAAATAAGTTTTCACAGACAACATACTTTGGTTTGCCATAGCATTCAGGAATGGCTTCACCAACTGAGCTGAAGACACAAAGGAAAAAACGATTAAGTGGCCCAATATTATTATTGATGGGTAACTTCAACCCTTGTTACATCACACGCATGCAGCACAACTTGTCATTAGCTTATCATTAATGAAATGGAAAAATAAAGTTGATGGATACATATTATTTTGTGAGTTAAGCAGGTCTGGAAATAAATATAGATGTATTCAAGTTGTTTTTTCTTTCTTGACTGTTCATCATTAATTTTCCCACAGCCCAGTGTCAGGAATTGTATCCATCCTGTGATAATGCCCTCCCTACATCTCTACACAGACTGTATGTCTCTAGTGGGAAAGAGGGTATATGGTACATTTTCTACCCACAAGTAAAAAAGCCAGAAGCTGGAGTTTCCTTCTGATTAGTCAAGAAACAATTGTGAATAAGTTCTGTTGATTGATTGATTCATCACGTCTTTCAGTGAAAACATCAACAGATTATAATACAGTGAAACCTGTATTAAGCGGAAAACCTCGGGGAATGTTGTAGTGTCCACTTAATACAGAGAGTCCGCCTAATACAGGTTTCGATAGATAATGTCATATGAGGTGTCGAGTGCCATTCAAATGAACAGTGGAAATGTTTAGAATATTCCCAGAGACTATGACGCTATACAGTACATTTGCATTAATTTCCTTATTAAAGTGGACCAATTGATCATAGTACCAAAAACATAATTACAACTCAAATTTGAAGAAATCAGATGAGTGAAACAAGCTGATTAGAAGCAAAATGACATAGAAAACAATACTGTACTGTGAAACTAATCAAATAAGTTCATCAAGTCATGTTTTTAAATGTAAAAATCAAAAAATTTATGGGTGGCAGTCTTTTGCATTTCCGACATCTGGCATGTTGGGTGGTGGAATTTAATTACAAGTGTCCGTTTAATACAGGTAATCAACAATAGAAATGACTATTCCAGGTGCTTTTAAGGTGTCCGCGTCTGTTTCCGCTTAATAGAGGTGTCCACTTGATAACGGTTTTATGTAAATTAAATAAAGGAAATAAATTTGGGGACTTCGGCTACTGTCCGCTTAACCCTTTAAGCCCCAATATCCACATACAAATTCTCCAAACTGATCTCCATACATTTCCTTAAAGAATGAGTTGAGAGAATTTGATAAAAGATCCAAGCATTTTCTCTTAGGTGATCATTTTATTAATTCTCACAAACCTAATCTCATGATAATGTATGAATATCGTTAGGAGAAAATTGCTGTTGGACACTATTGGGACTTAAAGGGTTAACAGAGGGTGTCCGCTTACTACGGTGTCCGTTTAATACAGGTTTCACTGTCGGATAGAAATCAAATCACTTTACATTTAATGTAAAGTACAGGGTTGTCAATAAGGTTTTAAGTAGGTGGAAAAAGCTAAGGAGAAGGCAGAGATAAAAAAAACTCACACCAAAGGCAAAACTTGCACATCCCAAAGGCTCAAGTTTCTAGGGGGATTTGGGGCCATGTCAGTCTCACTATTTTTTAACTTTTCTCTTGGCCCTCGTGACAAGACTCCCATTCTCATGTTTTTTTGTTTTTAGGAAATCATTCTAAAATGAAATGGTACCTTGCTGGATAAAAATGGAAATTTAATGGAGAATGCCAGTGCCCATTCAAGCCTACAAGGCATTTTGTCTAACATTTTTAGCCATGAAGTTGGCTTATCTGGAAGAAACTACCCAGTTACTATGAGTTTCATCCTAGTGATGACCTCTTCCCTGGCCCCTTAAGAATCATAAAAAATGGCATCTTGTTACAAGAAAGATCACAAGATAATATTCAGATATATAAACAGTGAATGCTCCTAACAGAAAGAGGGCCGTGTTTAATCTTGATCAGGAAAAAAAAAATAGAATCTCACCACTTTTTGTAGAATCTCCAGATTTTTGGGGGGGGAGGGGGAGGGATTTCCAGATTTTCCTTTATCAGGGTTGGCAGGTCTGAGAGCTATTGCCACTCTAAATAATTATAATCTCTAACTCGACTGACTCGACTCCTACAAGTAAGATATAGCAACTGATTTTAGCACTGCAGTTTTACATAAACTCTCCTTGTAATCTTAAGCTTACCACTCTCGTCGTTAACCAAAAGAACCATCAACCCACAATAAAAACAACAATAAAAAACAACAATAAAAACGATCAGAACGATCATATCTTTTCTTTTTATATTTCGTTATCTTATGTAAAGGCAAGAAAACAAGCGTAAAGTTATGTTTTAGCCAAGCAGAACCGTAAAAACATTACATTTGCATACTGGTCAATACAGCAACTTCCGTTTTATACAAAAATAAATTACTCCGCGTCGCCAGCCGCGCTCTACGTCTGTTAGAAAAGTATTGACAGTTTCTCCTAAAAACTGTACCTAATGAACCATTCTATCTGAAAGAAAAAATTTTAAAACTATGTTGAGAAGCGGTACAAATCGAAATCCGTGCCGCTTGTCACGTTCAAAGTGATGGATTATGTTACATGTGAAATCATGCAGAACGACCTTTGAACATCGACGCGTGCCGGTTTCCTTCGTACAACATTCGTAAAAACATTTTCTGTAGGGTTTAGCTAAACTCTGACTCAACAAGCCAACACTAGTATGTTAAATTTTTCTGCCCGCTTAACTGAACACTGCACCAGAAGCAAGAGTGCCCGGCCGGGCGACCGGGAACTTTTTTTCAGTCGCCCGAAGCTAAATGTTAGTCGCCTCAGGCGACCGGGCGCCGTTAGAGCACAGCCTTGACCCAGGTTTCAGAGCTCGTCGCCGAAACTGCTGGAAGATCTTAAATGCAATGAAAAGCTTGGACTCGCTTCTAGCCATACAAACAACACTCGCACTTTCAGAATCCAACGCTTTTTCCACCAAATCCACTGCATAGTGTGGACGCTGAAATGAGATTTCTTTTTCTCGTTTACTTACATTCATCGTTTAACTCTATGGATTTAGTGTGTTGTGGGTGAAAAAAAGTCGTTTTCACAGAAGTTTGGAAAAGACCGCCACGGAGGCGGCCATCTTTAAATTGGTACCCAGTCCCCCAATATTCTGTCTCGTTGGGTCACAGGTCACCCAAGCTCCGTGCATAAACCGCATGTGCCCATTCTCTAGACTACGTGAGAAATTCAATATAGTTGAATAGTTGAATGTAGAAACGCATTTCACTTACCTAAACCTGGTTTTTTTGCTGCGTTTTCTTTGCAACCTGGGCTCAATTCACGGCCATGCTCTATGGTTTTGCAGCTCGCTGTTTGCGTTTTCTGTGCAACCTGGGATTAATTCATGGCCATCATGGCTCTATGGTATTGCAGTTCGATGTTTGTTTGGTGTTATTTTCCTTAAAAATGTGAACCGAAGCTAACCAAGGTTGGTTACTGAGCGCAACCTCAACTCACAATTGCTCTCGCATCACAAACCATCGCGCTGATCCGCCATTAAACTCCATCACCTTTTCCACTCGTCCTGAGTAATGCATTGCGATTTTGGTGGAAAACATTTCATCAAGCTTTAGGTTCTGGCAAGAGCCATCCCATTATGGCTCTTGGTTCTGGGCAGTTTGGCTTGCGCTCATCTCAAAAACTACGCGTTGCGAAGTGAACGCGGTGATTTCACACAGCCCTTACATACACTAATCTCATTGGCTAGTTCTCAAGACTGAATAGTTTCTCAGGAAATGCTTATTCTCCATTTGCACGCCTCCCATAATGCACCTTGTTTTCCCCCAAAAGTGATGAATAAAAATTGTCTTTACATTCGTCTTGGAACGACTGTAACACCAAGGAAAAATGAAAAGCAAAGGTTATGCAAAATTTGGGCGGGGGTGGGGAGGGGGGGAGGCGCAAACAAGGTGAATTATGGGAGATGTGCAAAGGGTGAAAAAGGTAATGAGCGAGAGAGGAATCAATAGTAAAACACTGCTGCATGCATTGTGGTTAAAAAAACCAGATGTATTATGAGTAGATATCGAAAATATTCATGTCCCTGAGGTCTGCTGCGTTGTTCGCTCGCTGAGGGAAGAGGGTAGAAGGGTGTTTTCTTTTATTAAAAATAAAATGATTTTATTAAGTTAAAAACAACAGATGTTAGCCTAGTGGTTTTTATTAGATAGGGAACTCGCATGGGCTGAGATTCGTAAACGTTCTGATAGATAGATTTTTCTTTACTCAGGGATAATCGGTATTTTCTCCCAAACCATTAGCCTGAGAGAGCATCCGGTTGTTTCGGCTCTAATTTCACCCGCCGGAGGGAGAGAAGCGACGACCAGAATACGTCTGTGGTTCTCAGGGTACCAAACTGAAAGGTGACACTTATTTAGCCTGTGAACAGGCTCTCTGTTTGGGGAAAAAAAATAGCAAGGATTCCCTCTCCCTAGTTCCCCGCTCGACCAAAGGCCTGTTCACGGGCTAACACAATTTCGCAAGGCGAAGCAAGGGCGACTGGAATCAGTAACACATGAAAACTGACCAGGTTTATCAAGCAGCTTCAAAACCCTTTCTTCACCCTGTTTATTTGTGTACTAAACCTTAAATCTAGGCACTAGTTTAACATCTTATCCATGTTATCTGATACAATTCGATATTTTTTATTAATTGCTAACCTTAACCTGGGTTAAATTTTTGGTTATTCACGAATACAAAAATATTATAGGGCTTTAGCTTTTTTACTAACAGGAAAAAAGGAGCTAACTCGAAGAGTAGGGGGTGAACATATAGCGGGCTAATTCACTAAGAGGTCTAGAAGGCGACCTCACTAACATTCCATTGTAGATATCAACCTGATTTGGCTGGTAAGTTTTTTTTTTATCTCCTGGTCAAAAGTTTTGTTTCATTCTCCTTTCATATTTTGCGATGCTATTCTGCCTATTGTTGAGAAAATTGTCAGCAAGGAGCATTTAAACTTCGAAGCCATCAAACATATTCAACAGTCAGAATGCATGGGGGAAATTTTTCTAAAATTATTTTACTAGATAGGAATAAGCCTCGAATGACTACTCAAGACAAAGTAAGGGTCGCACAAACACTGGTTGAACTCCTTCGTGGCCGCAGCAGTAGCAAAGCCAAACAAGTTTAAACTTGTGTCTTGCGACTTTCCTGTTGAATTAACTAACGACAAGAGAGAATAAGCTCCTTCTATCTTCCTTACGACCCCCGCTCCCACACCCCGACAATTTAACGTCAAATTCGCCATTTCTCAAAATCCCATCCAAAAAAAATCTAGCCAGAGGCTAAACATAAGGGGTTTTTACTCGTGACTGACATCGTTCCAAAGTTTACAGAATTTTCAGCAAACGACCTTAGACATTCTGTCTCAGAATTCGACTGCCCTTGGACGTACCTAGATGGCAAAACCCCACACTTTGGAAAACTTTTCTACAATTCACCTCCTCGCCAAATTGACCAAATTGGCCTTAAAAATTTTATCACTTTGACCCTTCATGTCCTAACTTGCGTTTGTTATCTAACACCTCTACAAATGACGAAATTCATACCAAATTTTATATTTACATTTTAGCACTGAACTTTCACGAAATTTCGCTCCTTTAGCTGAATTATCTCTGATTTATTTAATTAAAGTTATTCTTGCCTTTATGATTACGTGAGCCGTTCTCAACTCACACATGAGGTGGAGAATTCTAGACGTCTAAATGTTCGGTGTTCTGCCTTTCCAGATTTTTCGCTTCAGCAAGATGGCAAAACGAACAAGTTGCGACAGCAATGCAAATAGGATCAACAACGCAAACAGCGCAAAAGGAAAACTGAGAAGAGCCACTTGGATCCACTGTAGGACGTCAATGATGCTTTTGTTTGGACCTTCGGGGCGGACTGCAGAGGACGCGAGAGTCGCTGTTGTCACGTTTATGGTCGCGATACAAGACAAAGTTATCAGAGAAAAAGTTTCCATTCTATCTGCTGTGCGGTCCCTGAATGGCTTCTTGATTGAATGATGAACTGCCATCAAAATACAGGCAAATGACATGCAACAGGAACAAACCATGAAATTGGGAATAAAGGCGCGAAATATAAGAAGCACAAGCCTTCGACCAATCAGAACGCTTTCCCAGTAGAGCGTCCCTTGATCATGCGCAGTAGTTGGACGGAAAGGGCCAAGCAAAATGTTGGATATTTCGTTGGTGCATTCTTCGCTATTATGTGATCCATTTCCATCGTCAATAAGCGATGAAAGGCGGGTGTATCTATTATGAGAGACTGGTTTCCCCCTCTGTTTGGTGTATGAACGTTTAACAAGCCAGTAAACGAGAAACGGTAGGGGAACAATACACGCACCAATAAACTGTTTCCATGATATGGTCTTGTTATACAGCTTTCCAGAACCCAGGTACAGAACCCCGACGAATGGAACGACAAAAATAACATTAAAAGCTAGAAGACAGTGCTGCCACCATTGCCAGCAAACAACGTTACCATCGTAGTAAAGACGCAGTTCAGACCCAATAGGTACGCAGTGCATTAACTTGAGCGAGGTTTCAGCAAGACGCTCGTAACCAAGCAACAGGATTTCCATGGCAACAGCCACGTAATGAACGAACAAAGGCTTGTGTTTCTTCAATATTCGGTAAACCACCAAATTAAGACAGTAGATCATGAAGACGTGACCTATGGCAACAAATACCAGCGCAGAGAGGAACATTTCCTTAGTGACCGCTGTCAGTCCCGCAAAGGGGCAGCCAATTTTCTTGTCCAGGATATGGACTTCAAAGTTAAAAGCAGCGACCATCGTGGAAATGTACGGAACTTTTTCCATCATTGTTTCCACAGATGTGGTGCTTAGCAAGTCGAATACTTGGTAGAAATAAAACGTAATTCTGATATAGCCATTCTCGCTTTCTTCTTTTTCAAGAACCAAGTCTCTTTGCAAATTCTGTTGACGACGATCCTTTTTAAACCGGAAAATTTGATCTTTCAGAAAACGAACAAGAGGAGGTTTCTTCAACAAATAGAAAGTCAAAACGATGGTATAGATTGCCATGAAAAGCCACAATTGAAAATTGCATCTACATTCGTCAGCTTTTCGACATTTGGTTGAAAAGAGTGATTCAGTAAAACCAGGAGCACATCTTCCACAAAGAACACCTTGCCGGTAACCATAGCAACGGTTGAAGTCCTGGTGGTGGTGACTTTCACCGCTGCAATACTTCTCGGGACAAGGCACAAATGTCAGGGACGAGAAATTGCTCGAGTTTTTAATTTTGTAACCCCAAAAATCTCGTTTAGCGACAATGTTATTGGGTCCTTTGCAGTGGGCTCCAAATGGGCACTCAAGACAACTGAAGCCTTTGCGAACCGACAGTCCCCTGGAAAATCCACTTTGAAGACTGTACATTTTTGAACGGCACATTAGGCATGCAAATATCTCAGTTGTAACATTAATACGGCAAAATGAACTGTCCTGCTCACCGTCATAGCTGAAGTGAGTAAAATTGTAAAATCGAAGCGAGCTTCCCATTGGACATTGAATAGTAGAGTTCGAGTCGATATCGAAATAGCCACCGTAAGATATCCTGAGAACAGGTTGTTGACGAGCCCGCCGACTTTCAGAGAATTTTGTTTCAAAAGAGGTGCTCTTTATCTTGATTGGTCCTCCGCTTTCCGAATGCAGAAATCTGCCAACTTTAAAAGAAATGCCTTTGAAAGTTCCCTCTTTTCCCTCTTCGCGCTTGAAAGCACAGTTCTGGAACTCAACCTTCGCACTGCCGTATCCAACATATACATGACCTGTGTCGCTCAAGGCAAAATTATTGGTGAAATTGCATCTTCGAAATTGAACATAACCGTTAATAATTTGAATCGCACCCGCCTCATACCCAAAGTTGTTTTGAAATAGCGTGTTTTCAACAAGGACACTACTGTTGTAAATCCACTGGGGATGGGTGTCGTTTCTCTCCCCTCCATTAACACATCCTCTGTCTACCAGCTTATCGGAGTCGAAAAGAAAAAGAAACGCTCCCTGGCCAGTCATATACGCTGGCAAGTTTTCGTATTTTTGCACTATCCACTCGTTCGTTTCTAGACTGAAACTGTCACGGAACTTGCAGCCTCGCAGAGTGATCGTCTTGTTTCCCTTGGCAACAAACACAAAGGCATTAGTTGGTCGACCTGCAAAGGTTGCATTTTCTATTTCAACGTTTACTTTCGAAGGTATCTGTTTGTCTAGAAGGGGGATGATGATGCGAATACCAAATGTAGCGTTCTGCCGGTTGTATTCTTGTACTTCTTTACCGTCAAAAACCGTGTTGGTTACTTGGACATCAACGCGGACGGTATTGTTTAGCAAACCGTACACGTCCATCAAGTTATTTCGAAATGTGCAGTTGTGAATGCTTGTAAATAAATAAAAATTGCTGTCGTTCATAACAAGCGCGTCATACGCAACCATCCGGACACCATATAAGGAGGACCTCACAGTTACACCTTCGAGACAAACATTGAAATTCGGTGTTAAGCTAACTGCAACTTCGGAGCTTTGAACAAACGATGTGTTGAAGATGTTAATTGTTCCAGACTGAGATGTAGTTCCCGTCACTTGCAATGTAGCGGCCTTTACTGTTCGATTCATTTTATTCATTTTATTGTCGTAGAAGCGGGACCCATTAACTTTTAAGTCGATTGTTCTGTTTGCGTTTGTAAAGCTCTGAACTGTGATACATCTTACTTCAGAGTTATTTACACATTGCAAATCAACAAAAGCGACTGTGGCCATACTCACATTGGAATAGTAAAGGCTACGGGAAGTCATAAAATGATTGCGCTTAAGGTTAATGTTATAGTACGTTTCTTTTGTAACAGCAGTGGGCAAATCAACATCCAAGAAATGACCTCCGCCCCCAAGGCAATGAACCTCATTCATCGTTATTTGCAGATAAATGGTTTGAGAGAATTTCTTCAGTGTTTCATTCGTTGAAAACACTATAGCACCCCTTTCAGGGGACTGTGTGTGGAAGCCATTTTCCAAAAACTTTGTTTTGGTCATATTTAATGAAAACAGTCTGTCTTTCTTGAGAGATTGTTGTTCAAAGTAGATTCTAACGCACAGGGAGTTGTTTTGAAAGACAGAGTCTCGAATAGTTACATTTACTTTCGAAATGTTTTGCACACGAATAACAACAGCTGATTCCATGGCGGTTTTATCGCTATGCCTTGTTCGAAGAGTACAGTTGATGATCTCCACGTCGCCACAGTCTATAAATTTTAAAGTCGTTTTTGAGAACGATAAGCCGCTTAACGATATACGCAAAGACTCGTTTGATCCATGAAAATGAAACCCTTCTGCACAGGTCACGTGGGCTTCTGTTGATGGTAAGCTGGTCATTGTGACGCTTTTTGTTACCCAGATTCCCGGATGATGGGCTCGCGTGGTTAACTGTTCGCAGTCATATGGTTGCTTTGCTGTACCACTGCCGTCCAGGATAACCATCCCGTCCCAGGACACGCGGGTAACAGCCTTTGTTATCGTGCGACAGGGCTTTTTAATGGAGCCACAACGTTTGCTGTCGTTTCCGCGTAAAGAAACGTGGACAGTTCTTTGATACTCGAGGCATCCTGTAAGCATTGGAAAGACAGGCAAGTGTTCAATCAAGATGCATGTTCCCCTTGCAAGAATAGCTAAACAAAGTGTCATTGGGCAGGGCCGTCCCTTTCAAGGGCTCTTTTCCTTTCCAAGCCCCTTATGTTAAAACTTCAATGTGCAAGATCTTGGTTTCTGCGGCCAAGTTCTCAGTTAACCGCCATCTGGAAGTCTTCCAATTAATATGATCAAAAGAAAGCGAATTCAAGATCATAGCGGCCAACTTGGTAACTTCCACGCCAAAAATGATTAAACAATAGTAAAAGAACTTTCCAGACTGTAGCAAAGAAACCCATGAATTTACTTTTAAACTTTCCTGCACGTTATTACATCAACTATTGTTTTCTAGATTGACAGAGCCCAGCTTGCCCCACAAAAATAGAGCAGCGCTTAGTATAAGGCAAGACAAAGCAGTTGTCCCGTCTAGGTTTCCCTTGCAAGAGAGGCTAGTGTGGTCGCATACCATTACAACCCAATAGCTGCTCTTGCATTTTGTGCTTACAACACCACAGGTAGCCCAAGCTCGAAATATGAGCATCGACAAACATCGGCATTGTTGCGTAACATATATTACTTCGGCGGAGCGCGAAGTAAAGGATTCGCGACGCTCAGGAATGTATCAAAGTTGCATTTTTTTGACACGATTGGGCACGCAAAGTGTGTAGGTTTTCGGTTCTATTCGGCTATTTGACGAAGTGAGAGCCGAATTAGTTCGGGATATCTCGAGATCACTTCGATTTCTTTGATTTATTCTTTAACTTTTTCGAAGAAGAAAGAATTATTATTTTGGCTTTAATGGGGTTTGAAGCGACTCACCTGTGTGACCCGTCAGATCAGAGGAGACTCTTAAGTTGAGGGATTAGCCGATTGCGCTACTGCGACCGAAGGTAGTTTGAGAAATGAAAAATAGTTATGAATTGATGCACTAGTTTCGGGACAAGATTGGACGTGCAAGTTCGTGAGTTTTCGGCTTGTCTCAACTATTTCACGAAATGAGACCGGACTACTTCGCGATATCTTGAGATCACTTCGAGTTTAGTCTTTAATTACTCGAGGAATAAATAGAGTATATTTCGTGGCCGCGCAGAGACACGAAATTTCTCTTCGAGTGTTGAAAAACATTTCACGAGTGAGCCCTCCTTTCGAACTGTTTTATGATGAATTTAAAGTTTCAAAATGCTGCACAAAGACATTTTGTCTTTGTTGAGTGTTACGTAGTAAAATTGCTTTCATGCGTTGCGTGACTTTCTCAAACGTTCTCTACGTTTTTGGATTCGCCATGAATAATTAATTAGGGCATGTTTACATTTCAGCATGAGTCAGCAGATTTGCATCAGTTACTGAAATCATACAATGTGTCGAAAAGCTACTACTATTCGCCTGTTTAGTATTTTCTAGAACCTTATGTCAAACGGTATACAAGTTGCAAGCGAGTTCTTTTGACGAACTAAGTTTTTTTCCCACGAGCTGGACTGCTGTGTTTAGTCATTTGTGACGAAGGTCGATTTTCAGGTTCTGTGTTTACAAGTTCGCGGAAGCCGTACGATATCTGAAGTTCAAGTGAGAGTTTTTCATTATTGGTAGAGGCTGTTTAGTTTTACTCAAAGTTCAAGTCAAGTTTGTGTTGGTGGATGCTGTGTTTTAAAGCTCTGTAAAGGCTATGTTCCTTTGGTGTTAAACTTCCATGTGTTAATCCGATATCCCTGCGTGCTGATAGTCAGTGAATAATTATCCTCAAAACATTCGAACTCGTGACTTTGAGTTTTAGCCAATTCCATGCTCAAAGTAATTGACTCCTCAGGGGCACCCAACGAGAATATAGTTCAAAACCACTTAAACATAGCATTATTAAACGTATTTTAGTATTAAAACGGTAGATATAGGCATATTTTTATCCCCTTAAATTTTTCATCTGTTTGGATTTCCCAGCTGAAAGTCTAGTGATTCGAAAATTATAGGGATCAAAACTTACTTTTTCGAAAATTTCAGCCGGAAAAAAGGCTCCCGAAAATTGTAGGTGACCCTTTTAGGGTAAAAATCGGTTAAAAATGGGCAATTATACCATTTTTTAGATGTTCGGGAATCCTAGGAGAGGAAGACAAGCAAGAAATTTTGGAAAAAAATGCTCCGAAAATTCTAGATCTCAAATCGTCTTCCGAACAGATATTTTCCGAAAATTGTCGTTGGGTGCCCCTGACTCCTTACCCATGCATATCTTTAATCAGTACATGAGACTGCTATGCTGTTTTTGAAGCTTGATGTGACTAAGAAAAATAGAGAATTTTTTTTTAGAAGGATTTGTATGGAGTCATCAGAGCATAACTGGGCTAATATCTCGGAGACAATTTGTCCCGAAATGCTAGTTTTTGGCAATTACGCCTCTTGGATGTTGTTCTTTTCAGAATATCCTGACAAATCCCATAATGTCACAAATTAACACCTTACGCTTACCACATTTGATTTCTTACTATTCCTCCGCATTTTCAGTTAATTAGTTCCACAACCACGACGCCCAGGTGTACGCTCCGTAGCGACTTGTTCGAAATATAAAGATTTGTATAGGAAAAAAACCTATCGTTTCTGTAACCTACGAAAATGAAAGGATTTCAATAAAAAACAGCTTACCTTACTTAAAATGTGTGTTACGTCTCTCCTGTGTGGTCCACGGGCCGATTTATGGCCGTTTTATGGGATTTTATGTAAACCGTTTTCTCTCTATAATAAAGGTTTACCAAAGTTGGTTAGTTGGGCACTCCAGCGAAGCGGCTCGACTGATCCACCGAAGGAAAACGGCCGTAAATTCGCTCCAGCTGCTCCAATCGCCTCCAAATTCCGCCTTGGTAACACACGATATAGTTCTCCTTTCCAGTCATTATCTTTATATAGAGAGAAAACCGTTTACATAAAAGACCATATAACGGCCATAAATCGGCCTGTGGACCACAAAGGGGAGACGTAACACACATTTCAAGTAAGGTAAGCTGTTTTTTTATTGAAATCCTTTCATTTTCGTAGGTTAAAGAAACGATAGGTTTTTTCCCATACAAATCTTTATATTTCGAATGTTACGCAACAATGCCGTTGTTCGCCACTGTGACAACACTTGCTTTGTACATGTTCTAAAAGTCGAGCTACGGTCTTGATGAGTCTAAGGAGGGGAGTACTTGCCTTCTCATGATCAGCCTCTCAAGATGTTAGAAGAGCAAGGAATGATAAATACACATTTCCAAATGATCATTCGAAAGGAAAATATCCCTAAAATCTTTCCCTCCGGGGGTCAGTTATGAAAATTTTTAATGTACCTCGAACTTTCGAATCTTTGGACAAAATCCAATGGCGTAACCAATTCAATACCACCTCAGTCTTTAATTATTTGCCTTCAGGATTTGGCAATTCAAAATTTGCAGTTTTGTTTCATTTGAGCTTTAACCACCACTGGGAGATGATGAAGGTTTAATCCCATCAAGAGAAAAATTCAAGAAAATAATTTTCTTTCCTTTTCTTTTTTTCATTCGAAAAAGAAACCCAGTGTAAACGTCCCTCTAAACAACAAATGAATAAAAGGGACGAATATATGATGGAAGAGGGCAGCGCACAAAAAGTTCGCTTTATTAACAGTGAGTTAAAAAAACAAGACCTTTGGATTCTAAGACGAAGATGACTACACGGGAACGAGATTTTCTCAATACACTCTTTACTTTTTTATAAGAATATTGTTTTTCCGGCCCATGCTGAATATTCCTATTTTTCTGCCGATTTTAGGCTGAAAATATTCTTGTAATATTCTTAATTATAGCTTATGACATTTCCGTGTAAGGATGTATTGGCGTACGTTTGCGGTTTAATTCATGTCTTTTGCATCGTACATATTTCGTACTCCACAAATACATTACATGTACCGCTCATCATTGAACATTTGGCTATCGCTAGTAAAGAGTGTTTCTTTTGTTGGCTAGTTTTGCCGTTTAGAGAAAGGAATAATTTTATACAGTTAAGTAAAAACATATCATTGTATTGTGTTTACAGATTTTCGCACGAAATTATATTCTTTTTACAATTTCAGCCTCAGGTTTATTCTTAAAATATTCTTAAAATTTGGCAAATTTCAGCCTCGATATTCTTACAAAATATATTCTTATAAAAAAGAAAGAGTGCACTAAGTAGAAGCAACAGGGGCACCCTACGACCGAATGTTTCCAAATGGTTTCTCAGTGCTTTAGAAGCCTGTTTGGTTATTTTGGAGTTGTCCTAAAAACTATTTATCTGTTCGGATGTCTTAGGCGAACTTTGGTATTCAAGAAAGTCTTAGGTGGCTTTTTCGTATCTCATCCGAAAGTGTAAGCTACCCTTATGGGTCCGGTCGAAGTTTTGAGGGGACGTTTTGCCTTTATACCGAAATTTTTAGGAGACCTTGTTAAACAATAATCGCTTTCTAGTATTAAAATCAGTGAATAACATAACCTCCGAAAATAGTAGTCAAGCTATTAGAAAACCTCCGAATCTTTTAGACCAATGGAATGGTTATCCAGCCTTTTTAAGCTTTCCTCAAGCTTTAGAAATTTTTAGGCAATATTTTCTCCTTTGGACAATTATTTAACAGAAAAAAGTCGCTGCGTGCCCCTGAGGCAAAGACGTTTTTGAGCGACGCATGTCAACCGGAAGTGAGGTCTTTTCCCTTTTTATATGCCTTGACGGTAACAAATTTGTATTGCTAAGTTTCTTCACTCTTACAGAGGCGACTTATAATTGACCATTTCTAACGAATTTTTGCCCTAAAAAGGTCACCTAGAATTTTCGGGAGCCTTTTTCCTGGCTCACATTTTCGAAAACGTAAGTTTTGATCCCTATAATTTTCGGATCACTAGACTTTCAGCTAGGAAATCCGAGCAGATGAAAAACTTTGAGGGGTTAAAATTATGCCTAAATCTACCGTTTAAATACTAAAATACGTTTAACAATGCTATGTTTAGTGGTTTTGAACTATA